GCAAAGATCCAAGGCCAAAGTCAGAGTTCATTGAGGTATGTCCCGGAATTATCCTGTTTTTTGCTTAAAACCTCCATTAGAACACCTCTAAGGCTAGTTTAATGTATTTTCCAAGCTTTATAGTTGTATGGATGCCTTATTGGGTCGAGATATCCCTAGATCTGTTCATTTAAGAGTTGTAGTGCCCTGATCTATCTCCTTTTCAAAGTTGCCTTGCATGAGAACCATAGATCTAGCCTTTATTATGTCTTTTGAGCCTTTTAATCTCCATGGATGTGTATGGACACGTAAAGATAGAATCTTTACGTGTTAATCGAGCATAAGAAGCCCAGATCTACAAGTTATATGCACTGGATTCAAGTAGAATTGAGTTTTTAGTAACTGCATGCATGCGACTCGGCGAGTCGTTCTTCGTACTCGACGAGTCGAGCCGTGAGTCCCCGATTTTTCCCATTTGAGTGATTCCAAGTGGGGACCAGTGAGTAGTAGAATGGACTCAGTGAGCCGGAGGTTAGACTCAGTAATGGAGGGACTTGACGAGTTGTTCATACAACTCGGCGAGTCTAAGGCAATCTTCATAGATTCAAGAGCAACTCGTCAAGTTGTTCATACAACTCGGCGAGTCGGATGCAGATAGCCTGAGTTTTAGAATCGAAAGGGAACTCGTCGAGTTAATGCCATACTCGACGAGTAGCAGCGATCAGGGTTGAGAAGTGAGAGTAGCGACTCGGTGAGTTGGCGGCCCAACCCGGCGAGTCAGGTCAACTGTAAGTTGACTTTGACCGGGAGAGTTGACTTTAGCCGGGGGTAAAAGAGTCATTTTACCCCAATGCAGTTATTAGTATTTGATTGAGTGTATTTGTGGAATTGTAGTCAGGGAGATACTGGGGCAGCAGCAGATAGCTTCCAGAGCCATACACTCAGCAGCCAGTTCACGAGGTGAGTTTCCTTCTAGTAGGAACGGGTCTAAGGCCACAATGCCGGCCCGTTCAGTTAGTAGTAGTTTCCCGGACTTCGGTCCGATGCAGAAGTTAGTATGTTTGATGCCTTCGTGGCTCAGACAGGATTTATGTGTTGTATGTTATGTGTTATGTGTTATGTGTTCCGGGCTACGGCCCGAGGCAGTATGCAGTATATGTGTTCATGCTAGTTGATATGTTATGTTATGCTATGTTCAGTCAGTTAGTTCGGACTTCGGTCTGATGCAGGGGGCAAGGCCCCAGTTAGTCGGGACTTCGGTCCGATGCAGGGGACAAGGTCCCAATCAGTTAGTCCGGACTTCGGTCCGATGCAGGGGACAAGGTCCCAGTCAGTTAGTCCGGACTTCGGTCCGATGCAGGGGACAACGTCCCAGTCAGTTTCTGGACTTCGGTTTGATGCAGGGGGCAAGGCCCCAGTTAGTCCGGACCTCGGTCCGATGCAGTGGGCAAGGCCGCAGTTAGTTCGGACCTCGGTCTGATGCAGTGGGCAAGGCCCAGTATGTGCTTTATATGTTATTGTATGGTATGTGGTAGTTTGGGGGAGCTCACTAAGCTTCGTGCTTACAGTTTCAGTTTTTGGTTTCAGGTACTCAGTTTTCAAAGGAGGAGCTCATGAAGATTGCAGTGCACACACCATAGTCAGCTAGCCTGGGATGTGCTACTCTGATAATAAGTTGTATTTCGAATTAATGCTATGAAATTATGTTATGATTTATGTTACGATTTTATTGAATATGGTTTTTAGTAATGTTTTAAACAGAAAATTTTAGTTGTGATTTTTAGGATGTTACAAGTCCATTTAGCATGTGGAATTTCCATAAGGTACGCTGTTACTTGAGGCCTAATTGAACTAAATCTGGACCAAAGGTTTTCAAATACATTAGTTTTGTAAGCTCGCACAAGCCTCCAAAACAAGACTTTTGTTTTATCATTTTTCCCAAACTGGTGTACTATGTTTCCAAGTAGATGAAAAGCACACACGCCATGATGAGCAATTGGGAAAACATTTTGAATGCTAATGTGAGTTAAGTCAGCCCTGTCAGTTACAAATGTTAAATCTTGACAACCACTGACGCATTCATACAGTTTGTCAAGAAACCATGTCCAAGTAACACCACTCTCTGTTTTGCATATTTCATGCCCAATGGGTACTATCTGGTTGTTCCCATGCATGCCACTGCATGCAAAATGGTTCCATTAAAATCCATATTTAAATGTACACCATCATAATTATGACTTTTATACAATACATTTGAACGCACGTATTTGCAATATGTTTTTAACTAATATTAAAACAAAAAAAATATACATTGGTTTCAAATAAGTATATAATAAATAACTTTGAATTTTATGTATTTACCGTGCTCTTAAGGGCATAGAAACAATACTCGAAGCGATCTTCATTTGGAATGCCATGGGATACCCCCATGGTCTTATATCCCCGAGTCATGGGTTCCTCTCATGGTCTTGCCAAGTGCCATGGGCTCCTCCCATGTTATTCACTTAATTCAAATATAGATCAAATAAAAACTAATACATATTCCATGACTAAACATTTCATATCAATTAATGGGTCGGCCTTGGTGCCTTCAACCCATGAGTGTAGTGAGAAGACTCACCTCAAATACTGAATGATAGCTGACTAGGTCTCGGCTCCGAGTATCAGCTCTATTCAACCCCTAAACAGAAGCAATTGCTTAAATATAACTCAAAATGCCCCAAAACCCCCTTATAGGTCAAACTTGGTCGAAGACTAAAGTCAAAGGCCAAAGCCAATGGTTCGAGTTGACCCAACTCATCGAGTTGTACTTCAACTCGTTGAGTTTCTCGATTAACTGCACAGATCAGGAAATCTCTCATCAACTCGCCAAGTTCACTAATGAGGTTGCCAAGTTAGCCAAAAATCCAACAAATTAATGCATTAATTTGTTTCCCTCGAATCTAGGAACTCCAAATCTTAGATCTCCTTCGAAATGATGTCTACAAGGGTAAAGTGAGTCAAACCCAAACCCTAGACTCATTAGAGTGAGGCTTGACCCATTAAGCCCTTAAACTCTCAAAACAATGTCTCAAAATGTAGATCTGGCCTCTAAAGGCTGGAAAGCCACGTAAAGTTTCCAACTTTACGTCCATGCATGCTAAAAGAAACCCTAGGGCTCAATATGGGTTTAATAAAGGACTTATTGCATAAATGGGACCTAGGACCTAGTAAAGCTTTCAACTTTAAGCCAAATGAGGCCATAAAATGGCTAGATCTAACACGACAATCCCTGGAACACACAACTTTTTGTACAACTCAACCATGAGCCCAAAATCAAGATAAACCCCCAAAACAAAGAGATCTAAACAATAACAAAGCAAGGTATAAACTTGATAACTCTAAATGACTAAAATGAGTGGGAGATTCTGGGTCCGAGTCTTCCCTCCAAGCTAGGTACCTTCAACTTCAAAGATTCACCAAAAGCGTGCAAGATATCAACACTTAAGGCCCTTCACAAGCTCACACACGCACAAAGACTATGATACACGCTTTTAGGATTTTCTGGACAAAGGAGGTTGGTAAGGAGGCCGAATAAAAGACTTAAGACCTTTAAATAGGATGTAACACCCTAAGAATTAGGGTTTCCTTCCCAGCCGCCAACTCGCCGAGTTGAAGCACCTCAACTCACCGAGTTGGTTCGTTAATTCTCGCGACCAAAGTCCACTCAACACGACGAGTTGAAGCTTTCGACTCGCCGAGTCCAACAGGAAAAATCAACAATTTAGGGGAATAAATTCATACCAGAACCAAGCGTTACATTCCAAATTTATTTTCTACAACTTTTTTCCTAATTTTTTTAGTATTTTTTTTTTCAAAATCTTTTACATGTTCTTATACAACTTTATCTTTGACTTTTTCTTTTTTTTTTTCCAATCTTTTTATAGCTTTTCCAATTTTATACAAGTTTTCTACTTTTTATATTTTATTTATGTTTTTTTTCACATATTTATTTAGGTAATGTGAGGATGTTTTTACATTTTTTATTTTGTTTTTTCAATATTAAATAAGGAAATGATGTTTGTCATGAAATTTGGAAACAATGATTTGCAAACTTTGCAACTGGTAGTTACGTCTTTTGATAGTATTTTGAAAGGTTAAACCTTAATAAAGTGTGTTTTGTGTTATTAAATGATGATATTTTTTTTATGGTTTAGAAACATTTTATCTGAATAAATAACAAGCTACGAGTCACCCGGTGCGATTTTCCGTTTTGCGAGAATATGAGAGTTTATATTTTATACTATATGATGTGACACTGAAATATATCTTATTTTCTTTCCTTGATAAACTTCTAATTAAAGCCCTAGAACTCATCTCCAATAAGGAGCGGTCACCAAATTTTTTACTTTTTTGCAACATTTTGTCTAGTCGTTTATAAAAAAACAATATTTTATAACTTTTTTTTTTTTTATAATTTTATTTATGTTTTCACGTTTAACATAATTATTTAGTAATTTACTTAAATAAATATGTTATATGTGAAAATATGTAAATAGAACTATCAAGAGGAATTATTAAAAGAAATTGGAAAAAGGTCTTTAAAAATGTAAAAAAATTATACAAAAATTGAAAAAGTTCACAGAAAATTCAAAGAAAGTATAAAAAGATAAAATGTGTTATAAAAAAACGAATTTGAAGGCAAATTTTGTAAAAAACAATATTTATATCAAATTTATAATGGAATTTAAAATTTAGAACAATATTATAAAAACAAATTTTGACATAATAGATGGAAAATTGTCTTTTGTCTTTTTGATAGGGTGGGCATTAGAACTTTTGGATCGAAACCTTTAATAGGTTCGGTCCAAAATCCATCAATTTCTGTTAAATCGGTCTGATTCAAGACTCTGATATTGGTTGATTCAAATGTTTTAAGAATTGGAAATCAGACCTGGATCCAATAAACTTCAAGAGGTCCGACCCGATATAACTTAATATCTTTAAAATTAATCCAGTCCAAAAAGAATCCACTCTGGTCCGATCCAAATACTTCTCGAGGTCGTTTATTTAAACTGTTTTAGTATAAAGCGGAGATTCAAGGGGGTAATAACACAAAGCGTCAATACGCTGAGGGTGTTATATAATCACCTTGAAAAACACAAAAAAAGTTGCTCTCTTGAACTTCGATTATGGTATAAAAAGAGCTCCTCACAACACCATCTTCACTTTTTATCTGCTGATTTGAGGGCTTGATTTACATTAATGGATCAGAAAATCAATGTTTTCGTCTGGGATATGGACGAGACTCTCGTCTTACTAAAATCCCTCATCACAGGCACATATGCAAAGGCTTTTAATGGCTCTAAAGACGTTCAAAAGGGTATAGAAATTGGCAAAACTTGGGAAAATCAAATCCTTCGGATTTGCGATGATTACTTCTTCTATGAACAAGTAAGTAAAAACCCATTAATCTCTCCTCGACAATTTCAATTTTACTTACAAAAAGCCCCGTTTTTTAGTTTTATTGGCATGGGGCTTGTTCTTGGTCAAAACTCATTAATTCCTTTTCTGCAAATCTTGATTATTGTTGTCGAAACACTGATTTATATGAAGAAAAGACCCACTCTTACTTTTTCGGAATTTTACTTTTGATTTGAGCAGATTGAAGGCTGCAACAAGCCTTTTGTTGATGTAATGAGGGAGTATGATGATGAATTAGATCTCACTGATTATGATTTTAAGAATGATGGTTTTGTTGGTGCCTCTTTCAATGATGTCGCCAACAAGAGGAAATTGGCATACAGACATCGTATCATTGCTCAGAAGTATAAAGAGGTTCCTTTTACCCTTTTAAACCTCATATTTGAAGGAATTTTATTGTTCCTGTTTTTGCAATATATTTTGATTTCTGGATTCAGTTTTTGTTTGATCTTAGTATTTATGGCTATACTTTAACAGATCTACCCAAGTATAGCAATATCATTGAAACAGAAAGCAAATTTCTACTGCTATAATTGGGTAGATTTTTTCAATGGTAGTGCCTTAATAAGAAAAAAGAATGGAAGTACAATGCTGAAACAAATAAAAATAGGATATGTTTACTATTTCTTGCATTTTGCCCTAGTATTTGTGACTATACACTATACTTATTATAAAGTATATGAATAATCTTAGTTATTACTTTTTTATGGTTTGAAAAAGTTAAATGAAACCCTATAGATCTTTGATTTAGAATGTCAAGATTGATTTTAGAAATTCAACATGTATGGCATAGAGATCATAGATTGCGAATGTAATCTCCATGCTTGTTTTTTTTTTTTTTTTTTTTTTTTTTCACTCTTTTGCTTGATTTTTGGTTATTTGAAGGAAAAGGGAAATTATTTGTAAAGTTGGTCAATTTTTGAATTAGAACTTTTACAGCTTTATGGCGTATCCTAATTCTTGAACATGGTAATGTAGATTATCGAATATTAAACAAATCATATCGGTTTTGAAGTTGAAAATAATAATCACACTGGAATTAAAAATGTCATGAAGATTCTTTACAAAAGTTTTGAAACGAAAAAAACTAATTTATACAACTTATTGTGTCATCATATTTATCATGCCTCATTGGAAAAAAGGTTGACACCCTAAAGTTCCGATCTTTTGATTGTAAAATTACGTGCATGCCCTTTTTAAACCCTATTGTTTAAAAACAAACCCTAAAAAGCTTGTCTAGCCTTTTCACGTCACATGCAACAAACGCAGCCTAAATTTACATGTTCTTTTTTGGTAACATTGATAATTTATTACTTATTTTTAATGCCATTAGCTGATTTTTCATGAGTCACTCTATTTTCATCTAAGGAAACGTAATTAACTTTTCATAATTATGCAGGGATTGCGTAGTGTTTTTGGTGAAAAGATGATAAAATCATGGGACAATCTTTATCAGGAGACCGATGATTTTACAGACAAATGGTTGTCTTCAGGTGAATTGGCTTGAGTTGATAAGTAATTTAATTCTTCTCATCATTTCACATATGTAGTTTATCAGATTAAGTCTTATCTGCATTAAACATTATATAAAAAAGAAACAATTCTTATGCTGTTTCTTGCATTCAACCCTAGTTTGTAAAAGCTTGAAAGTCATCTGATGACTTTTTTCGTGATAACATGTGGATGCCAGTTTACTTCATGATAATTATTAATTAATGTTAGATAGTTTGTAGGGATTCATACGTATACAAGGTAAAAACACTTAAGACAACACGTAGACTAATGTAGGTCCCATTCATTTAACCTTTTCATTTTTTGTGGGACCCATCCATATGGTGTTAGAAGAATTGATGATGTGATTGTAAGGCCCGCAAAATGGATGATTTAGGAAAACGATATATATATATATATATATATATATATATATATATATATATATATATATATAACTTAGGGTTTTTCTTTTTACTTAACGGGGAAAGGACTTAATCTAGTAAGTTGTATCTATGGGTGTTTCTTTTTGACCAACTACAATAGCAGAGAATGTCAGGAAAATGAGGTTTTTTACAAATTCACCTTCATTTATTTTTTCTTCAAAAACATCATTCACCCTGACTTTGCTTAATGGGAAAAAAGAAAAAAGGAAAAAGATACGTAGCCATAGATTTTAACTGAATTCCATATGAATCATTCGTGCACTTGACCTGAATTGCAGCCAAGGCTTGTGTGGCGGAATGTGCAAGTGGAAACAAAGATTCCATTCCGGATGGCATCTCAGATTCCACAAGTTCAAGAATTCAAAATGTGAATGTTATTGTAACTTCTGGCTCATTAATTCCAAGCCTTGTCAAATGCTTGCTATTTCGGCTTGATGACTTATTTTCCTATGACAATGGTTAGTCACTTGTACTTCCAAAACTTACATCCTTCAAAATCTCATTTGTTATACAGTACATGTATTTGACCTTATGTCAATGAGACAAAAATTGCAATTTTTTGTCCCATTTCAAAAAGGTGGTGTCACCAATTGCTCTTCATCTCTAGTTTGTGTAAAAGACAAGAATCCCCTTCTCATCCTCATTATCCAATGTTGTCTAGGTTTCTCTTGTGTAACAAAGCCTTAAAGCTTTAGGTTTTATTTATGATTTAATGCAAGAAATAGCAACGTACTTTCATTTGTTTGTTTATATTCATAGCGCTCTACTTTCATTTTCTTCCTATTATAACATTGTACCTTGAAAAACGTTAATTATAGCAATGTTGTCCAAATAAAAAGCAAAAAACAATTTTCATCCATGTAGAATAAAATGAATCACAAATCGATATTTGATTATTTTCAATGTACAACGGTTTAAAAAACAAGATCGAAAGTAATTTGTGTTGAAAGACACAAATGAATGAAAGTGCATTGCTATTTCTTGTATTTACCCTTAACATCCATGTTATGTAGCTCCCATTTACATGATGTGTTGTAATTGTGGGTGCCATCCAGTAAAAACAGATGGGATGGGACCCACAAACAACAGATAGTATTCAAGTGATTGAAAGGAAAATTGACAAATTTTCACAGTTTACAGCTCATGGGAAGTAGGGAAGTACAAATGCTTTTCGTTGATCAAAGAACGATTCAACGGACCAAACGTGCAGTTTTGTGCGATTGGAGACGGATGGGAAGAATGTGAAGCCGCCGAAAACATGCAATGGCCGTTTGTGCAAATTGACCCGGGGCCCGTTAGTACCTCTCATCGTTTTCCGGGGCTCACTTTTGAGACTTTGGGACACTATATTGGTGTTATTTATGGTGATTCTGATCATGATGATGATGATGACGATGAGGATGATGATGATGATGAATAAAAGTAATGAAAACTGAATGAAATTGAAACTCCTGTGATCGGAAATTGTGTGATTTTTTTTTTTTTTTTTTTTTTTTTTAAATTTAGGGCTTGGGGGTTCAGATGTCAACTGTTGCAACCCTCCCCCCCAGCCGGTAGTATAAACTCATGTACATTGTAAATTATATTTAATCTTTTATCGTCTTTGACTTTCGTATATGTTTGTTTTATGATTATAAACGCTTTAATCATGTCACATACATGTGATGTAGAAAAGAAAAATTGATGATCTAGATTGGATGGTGGGGTCTGATGGTGGGTTCTGTATTATAGAGGTAAAAGCTAAAGGATTAGGGTTCAAAGGACAAAAGGTATCACATAATTTCTTTGTCGGATGAAAAATGTCAGAAGGATCGTATTTGTAATATTTAGAAAAGTATGGGGTTGAAAATGAATGTATTTTGTTATTTGTCCTCACATCACAAAAAGTTTGTCAAATGAGGTGATGGTGATCATGATAATCATTAACCACACAAAGAAAAGATGTGATTTGATATTTATTTATTTATTTATTTATTTTTTTGCTTAGAGTATGACATGGTTTTCTTTCTTTCTTTAGTTTCTAGGTTTATATATAAGAAATACTAGTGAAAATGAAACTAGGGTTTTATAACAAATAATGAAATTATGTTACCTTTTTCGTAGTCATAGTTTTGATTTACAAAAACATTAACATAAAGTTTGCTGCATGACTTCATGGTTTTGATTTTCAAATAAATAAATAAAAGATTATAGATACCTATTTTTGCAATTATTCTACTTTTTGTTAACCTGTTTATTTTTTTATTTTAAAGTATATAATCAACTAATAATAGACATAATTGATTAGGTAATATAAAACAAAAAGAACTCGTAAACAAAAAGATTAAATTGTATCTTTTCTTTGATTGATCCATTAATAATTCTAATATTGTTTACCAATTTTAAGTTAATATTTTAATCATCGTGTAGTGTTAATCAATAAAAAAAGTCTAAAGTTGTTTGAATATTATAAGATACTAAAACAAAAATAATAAATATTGATTACCATCACAATCACCCCATTCAGGCCATTTCGTGATGCGATAGGAAACACACATGACGAAGAAAGTGTGATCCTCTTTTCCATCGTTCTTTCACTATCTTCTTTATCAAACTTTTTAATAATGTACCTAAATGTTATATATATATATATATATATATATATATATATACACACACACACACACACACATGGTTGAGTTAGATAGTGTTTGTTTTTTGTCTGCAGATATGCGAGACGTCTTCTGTCTGCGCCGCGCAGACCACGCGCAGATATTAGTCTTCGCAGACTGTTTGTTTTTTTGAAGACTGCAGACCTAAAAATGTCTGCGCGCCCTCTTCTTGGCGCAGATGTGGACCAAAGTCTTCTAACATCTTCAGACATCTTCTAGCTTAAAAAAACATATATATCTTTATTTTTTTTAAGTTTTTTTTTTAATTTATATTTTTTCCAACTTTATTAATGATAAACAATATGAAAAAAAAATTACAAAACTTAAAAAAAAAACATTTGACGATACAAACATGATATTTTTAACAAATTTATAAATAAAAATTTATTATAATAATAGTCGTTGAAGTTGTTTATATAAATATGAAAAAAAAAATCATAATATATTCTTATATTTTTTTGCCAAAATTTTGTAAAACTTTATTTAATAGAGTGTCATCAATTTCTCGAGAAAATATTTATCGTACGTTTTTAATAGATTTATTTGAAAAAATCGAAGTTTATTTCCATCTATTTATGTATCAAATTCTTTGATCACTAATTATAATGTTTAGTTATAACTTTGCAATCAAAGTTGTTGGTTTTTATCAAATATGGATATGAATTAATACCATTTTTATTTTTATTTTTTATATAATAATACATAAAAGTTGATCTAGATTCGTTATATATTTATAATAAAGTCGTAAAAATATATAAAAAATTCTCTTTGAAGTTTTAAAAAATCAGTTTATTTAGATTTCAGTTTATTTTAATAGCCCGCAGATGTTAAAAAAACAAACAGTCTTCTTTTTTCATACTGCAGATGTTTGGTCCACCTGTTCTACTGCAGAGGTCTACAGATGTGGTCCGCAGACTGCAGACATTTTGCCTCAGAAAAAACAAACAGCACCTTATTGTGAGAACTAAAAAAAACATGATAACTTGCAAACTAAGTATCAACAGTTAAAAACAACGCATCAGCAGACATATCAACTACGGACACAAGCATTAGCAATCATATAGACAACAGACGCATATATGCATGCATACATCAACATATTGATTGCGGACGCATATATGCATGCACGCATGCACAGTGCATAAATATAAATATTTTTCAAAAAAAAAATCATCAAATCTTTTTTTAGTCTAGATATGGCTTAGATGGTGCACTTCATTAATATTTATGCTTTTGATTTTGAAAAATGATGTTTTCATTAGTAGTTATCAAGTTTTCACATTTTGTTTGGTTCTAAACTGTCACACCTCCAAACCAAGGATGGCGGAAACGTCCGGGGGTGGAGGACTTCATGTAGAGTATCACAACAAAGAGTATAATAGTGCTCAAAGTAAATACAACCAACACAAATATAATTGAAAACGTTACATCAAAGCACATGTTTACATGATTCCCATCAATTACATTATAATACAAAATGAACTGTTTGACGATTTATCGTCCCATCCTCAAAACGTTGTTGATTTCCTGTTTTCACTGAATTCCTGAGAATACAAGTAGTTTTGAAAAGTGTCAACACAAAGGTTGGTGAGTTCATAAGAAATTTCGTTGGAAAAGTAAATCGTTTTCCTTGTAAAATCGTTACAATATGCATCCAGAAAATCCGATATTTTCTTTAAAATCTGCGTAATGTAGTCTTCTGACTGAAGACCAAAATGTATAAGTAACCTTTCTTATTAATTAGAAAATGTTATGTACTTAAATGGACATGGACGCGTTTGAATTAAATGAAATTTCTGTATGTTCTCATGTTCGTTAATACTTTATATATATGTAGTCCTAAATTAGAGGACCGAGAAATAACAAGTATTGACCATACTTAAAAGTATAAATGTGGTTTCAAATGATGTGTAGTCGTAACTACCAAAACCAAAAGTGTACAGTAATATCTGTACTCATAGAGATAAAAAGTGATTTTTAAATCGACATAAAACCCATTTAGGTTTTAAAAATAAAATCCCGTAAACTTATGGATTGTTATATCCCTATGTGAGTCGCTATAATCATACTATGACTATGTGAACCTGCCACGACGTTCTCAGTGTCGGGAAAAATAAAATGACATTTGTCACCCGTAGACCTGCAGGTCCAACTGTAGCTAGCAGCAAGGTGTGGGGTGTCAAACCCAATATAGATCTATATACAAGTATCACGTTCTCCCTCAAGGAGATTCTGATTATAACTACTAGGAATTATATCCCGCACTCGGACGTACGGGGAGAGAGAGAGAGAGTCTCACAATATAGGTTAACAAGTTTACGTGAAATGTGTGTGAATATAAATCTTTCTTGTATGAATGTACCCCTTTTTGTACGAGTGTGTTGAGTGATGTATCATAAACTATACCTATTATAGTTTATCTAAAATGTATGTAATATGTATGAATTCTTTTATGGAAATGTATTAGTGTTCTGAATTTATCAAACTATAGGTAAACAACTTTACGTGAAATATGTGTGAATATAAATCTTTCTTGTATGAATGTACCCTTTTTGTATGAGTGTGTTGAGTGATGTATCATAAACTATACCTATTATAATTTATCTAAAATTTATGTAATATGTATGAATTCTTTTATAGAAATGTATTAGTGTTATGAATTTTTCAAACTATACTTTTTATAGTTTAATATACGTGTTCTAAAATGAATGAAATATATTTATTATGAATGACTTAGTTTCAGTTCATGATGATAAACTAACAAAGAAACACATTCAATAATTAGAGCTTATGATTATACACTTTGCTCAACATATTACAAAGTGTTATGATATTTACATGCTGTTGGCTAAATTTAGCAATTCTGCCCTGTTTTGGAAAAATCATAGAAAAATCATACCAAGTCGAAAACTAGCTCCGTAAATTCTGAGAGTTCACAAAATGTGTCTAGTTTACTCATAATTTTTATAACGATTTTTAATGACCTCCAACTTGGGTGAAAAAGTCCATAATCACAGACTGGTCCGGATTGTTGTTTGAAATGATAGGCGGTTTTGTAAAAATCACCATAAATTGTAGAAAAATCGTATGGAGATGTGCAAGTAGTCATTTTAAAGCTAAAAACTTGAACTATTTGCACCTTGTACAGTTTTGAAAACAAAAATGTTTAAGATGCCCAAAACAGTCCGTGAATGGAGTTGAACTTTTCTGATGAAGGCTGTTAGAAAAATTTAGTTATGTTCTTAGTGTTTTAACTTGTATTCCCCCCTGAAAACTTGAGAAAACATAAAAATGTAGGGGTATGAACTCACCTTAAGTGATTTCAGTAGGTAAGTGTTGAAGAAGAGAAGTGTTCAACCCAAGAACACTTGAAGAATCACTTGAAGATTCGAAGATCTAACACAATTATGAGAGAGTTTGTTTAAGATATCCATGATTCGAGTGGAAATAATTGAGATAATCATAAAGAGAATGGATTATTCTTACCAAATGTGGAGGAAAATCCAAAGATCAGCCCTCAAATCTCGAGTTCTAGAGAGGGAAATTAAGAGAGAAAAGAGTTTGCTCTTTTTGGTGAAAAGAGAGGAAATGAGAGAAATGAGGACAGAGGGTGAATATTCAGCTCTCCAAAAACGTGGGGAGGAGTGATGATTGAGTGGAAAGGATATTGATGTGACCTAGGTAAGGTAGGGAGGTGTGGCTGGTCATAGAGTGGGTGTGAGAGTGGTTGCTTGTGTCATAAAGTAAAGCAAAGTCAACACTCCACCTCTTTGTACTTTACCCACTTGCTCTTATTATTTAAATAAGGATTTTTACGAAAATATGATTAAATTGAGAATATTTAGGGTTTATTATGTTAAAATATGATTTTGGGTGACAATCCTGCGTTAAAATAATTAAAAACGGGTCTTAAATGCAAAACTATGCGAAAACCGGGAAGAAAATGAGTTCCCAGCGAGACCTCTCGGTCCTAGGCCGAGGTTCGGTCCCTAGGCCGAGGCTCGGTCCATGCTGAGGTTGGAGTCGGAAGCGAAAGGCGCGAGTCAGACGCGAGAAGTGAAGGGCGAGGGTCCGGTCCGAAGGCTCAGTCCGAAGGGTCAGTAGCGAAGGTGAGGTTCGGTTCGGGAATAAGAGGCGAGAATGTC